TTTTGCTACTGTTATGAATTGGGCCACTCCTGTGAAAGGGTCATTCGACCCCCAAAGGGGTTGTGACCTACAGGTTGAGAACCGCAGCCCTAATGTGAGAATCAGCAGGTGATTACATTCCCAAGGTTATGGTTCAAACACCTGGCCTTGACGATGCCCACTAAATGGCAAGTGAAGACTACCATACAGCCGTTACTTCTGCCTTCGTGAATGAATATTATTGAAAGTTTGGCCCTATCTTCAACCCCCGTGTGTGTAAACAGTGTCCAGTCACTTACGTTTTTAGCCTGTATAAGTCAACAATTCATGTATTTTAGTCTAAAAATGCATGTATGCTTTCCTCTTCTCAACAGTATTTTATATATCATGCCATTCACCAATAAAATAATGGCATCTCTTAAATAAACCAGGAACATATATAAACCATAGATAAATGGTTTTGATCTTGAACTTAATTAGCCCTAATCTAGGTTCTTATGGCCCTACTGGATACTTGCCCTCATGAAGAAATCGCTGAGCATATGGGTGTTATAGCAACGCATGGTGAAGCAATCAGACGGTGCCCAGCTGTCAGAAAGAATAGCATCGAGGCTCTTAAGGACTTGTCTTAACGCAAGCAGCTCTTTAAGTGAGGGGCAGCTAAGCCCACACAGTAGATGTACACTAGCCTGTGTAATTCAAAGATTATCAATCATAAAATCTGAGGCCATAGGAGGGAATGGTATCAGAGCTTAAATTCTGAGCACCCAGTTTGCAGAAGGCTGTGGACGACTGAAAGCCCAACTCCATTTGCAGGGTCCCCATGTGGATTATGGTGAATCCCCTCTGACCATTGGCCAGGGATGTGAACAGCCTTGCCATCAGCCGGTGCCTTGGAAAGTGGATTAATGTAACTGCAGTTAGGTTAAAACATAACACCTTATCATTTGTTCTCCCTTTAGTTCCATTTATATTTGTTCTATGTTTCAATATTTTCTGCTTTCTTTCTGATTGAGGTTGATTTTATTTTGTCTTTGTGCTTAATCTGTTTTTGTGTATGCAATCCAGGATAGCCCGTAACTGGCGTAATAGGTTCTCAGAGTTATGGCAGGGGAGGTTGATGGGAAAGGGAGGACCCGAAAGAAGAAAATGTTCTGATTGTGGTGATGACGGCACAACTCTTTTTAATCCGATCAAACCACTGAATGGTATTATATGCAAATTATATATCAGAAACATGGTTTCTAAGAGTGAATAATAAAATATAGCTACAGCCAGAAGCCCCTTTGGGTGCTTGTCCAGCTGCCTCTGCAGAGGAAACACCCTTCTCAGTCCTGCTTGTCGGCATACACTTACACATGCCATTAGGTTCTGCTGCAGCCTCACGAGACACTGGTCCTGTACCAGCCTCACAGTTACATATGCTCCACGTGGACGGAGCAGGAAAGGGCAGTAGTTTTCTGGGCGTGTGCATGTCCTGTGTTGATACAGAAGTCGTGCCAAGCTGTTGACACGATCACACAGTTTTCTTTGTTCAATTGGCTATCTACACCGCTGCTTCATTAGTCTTAACTGTCAGGTAGTCCTCTTTCACGTGCTCAGACAACACTGGTTTGGCCTTTTTTCTTCTGATGGGCATTTTGCTTTGTTTATGAATTTCCACTACCACACACAAACCGCATCGGATCACCTTGAGTACGTATCCATTTCTCTGCAGTCACGTCAGTGTGTTTCTGGGTCTGAGGGTCTGGGTGTCTTCATTTTGAATAGACAGTGTTTTTCGTTTGTGTTTTCATTTCCTGCCATGTTTTCTCCCATGCCCGACACCATCTGACACCTAGTTAGCTCAGTGTGTGCCTCCCTAGTGCCCCGTCACGCTCAGGGTTTGAGATCACAGTGGTAGATGGTGCGTATACCACTCTTCATTCTGCTCACCCATAGAACTCAGACTGTTTTAAGGTAGCATTTAAATTAGTATCTCTTAAGCGTGAAGGAAACATATTAACAATGAAAAGCATACTACATGACATCTACTTACTGCATACCAGAAGCACAGATTTTCTGATACAAACTTGCTAGTCACGGGACATGCACGGAACTAGAGATCAGACTGGATGCAGTCTGTCCCCTGCAATCTTCTGAGTCAACTCCCAAGTAACCCACGGCACCAGCCTAAAAACCAAGACACCAGGGGAAAATGTTTTGTTGTTTTGTTGTTGGGCTGTTATGCCTTGCTTTTATAACCACACTCTAATGACTACTTTAAAAACAAGGATTAGAAACTCACTGACCAGAACCTTCTAAGAGTTGGAGGCCAGGAGCTGACTCCTGGCCCTCAGGCCTGTCATGAAGAGTCGGAGCATCGTCCGGTGGCCTTAGTGGATACTCACAGGACTCATCTGAAGAGATGCTGGGGAAGGTGTCGCACTCCGAGTCCAGGGCAATGGTGACAAGCAGCTTCTGTAACTCCGCTCCAGCACGGAATTTATTCGGCCCGTGGTACCGGTTGTAGAAACCAAAACTATATTCGTAGTACCTGTGAGAGAAATGAATTTACACGAAACGTCAGCAGCACCACCATTTCAGGACACTTTTGAAATATGGCACGTGGCCGTGGACAGTGGAAGGTGGCGAGTTGGGAAGTGCTCAGCTGCTAACCGCAAAGGTTGATGCTTCAAAACCTTCCAGCTTCTCTGCAGGAGAAAGATCCGAGCCGGCTGCTTCTGTGAGGATTTTGGCCTGGGAAACCCATGGGGCATGTCTCCTCTCGCCCCACTGGGTAGTGGAACAGACTGAGTGGTTGTGCTTAGTGGACGTTGGAGGGGACTCCCCAGCTCCCTGCCACCTAGCGCCATCAGTCTGTTCAGGGTCTTGCAGCCCATGCTGCAGATTAGAACTGTCTAGGGACCTTGGGGAAAATCCTGCTGTCCAGACCGACAGCACCACCAGACTCTCTGGGAGTTGACCCAGATGTGAGACTTTTAGGAGCTGTCCTGACCCACCCCATGTTCGGAACCAGCAGTCAAACCAGCCTTGGTATTCTTTATCACCCTTGGGCATGGGAACTAATTTTGGCAAGTGAAGGGATTTTTCTGGGGGAGATGGGGGCAGGTGGTGGTGGTGGTATTTACGGGAAGCCTCCTCTCCAAGGGACTCACAAGAAGAGCTAGTATCTGTTTTCTCTCAGACACATGGAACAGTTGCAGCCGGACTGAATATGACCAAGCAGATATGAAAGGAACATGCTTCCCTGTGAGGTGGTGACCCACACGGTCAGCATCCCTAGGGAGGCACGCCGCTCTTGCCTGCCATCCTACTTCCTTAGGGGGGAAACAATGGGGTTTTCTTATTGCTTCACCCTGACTGAGTCCGAGTTCTTGTTGCTGGCCACCAGAAGCATCCCCGCTGCCCTCCTCTGGCTAGACCAGGGAGCAGAAATCATCTCCACACCAGCCCAAGCCCGGCTACCACATGGCAGAGGGCCGACGCATCTCCACGCACTGTCTTTCTTGCCCCAATGCTGACATCGAGCGCACCTCCCAAGACACTCTCCATTTCTGGCGGGTCTCATGATCTGTTGCAATGCCACAAAGGTCACACAGACAACGCTCGTGGTCGTGGGGGTTTGTGAGGCAAGGTAACTGGTTACAACAGGCCAAGAGCAGACAACATCAAGGGCACCATCACTGGCACAGCGACAAGTGTCCTTGTCAGCAACCACACTAGCCCTCAGCCTCTCAACCACAGGATCCCTTGGCCTCTGCCTCCGTCTGAGGGTCAGGAAGCCCACCTGCTGCTCTGCCCACAGTCTCGGTTGCCTCTGCCCTGTCTCATGGTCTCCTTGCCTCAGTCTTTCTGGTCTTGGGTTGGCATGGCCTCTGCCATCTCCACTGCCTCAGGCAGGGGTCTCAAACATATTCCACTAGCGTCTCCTCTTCCTTAATGGTCTCGGGACATCCCACTTTTTGCTTCGGAGATGGCTCTCATATACACAGAGGAATGGCAACCCAATCTGACCAGTGCCCTCTGTTAGTCTTTCACATACACACACACACACACACACACACACACAACCTAATGGTGGGAGGTACAGAGACATGGACAGAGGAGCCACAGGAAGAAATTGCACGTCACCACACCAGCAGAGACACCGAGCCCACCCCACCCCCAAACACCATCTACTCATAGAATTCTCACAAGTCTTTAAAAGTTACCTTCCGTGAGTCCCCGAATACCAGAGAATGAGAAAGCTAAATGAAAATGTTATGGTATTAAGTGATTAAAAAAAAGATCGATAGGCTCTCATGCAATTGTTTAAACTATTAGTTTTCTAGATTTTTTGAAAGGCAGAAATTTGTGTCTGCTACTAATGTGCAAGAGGCCCTTGTGTTTTACCAGAGAAGCAAAGAGAGGGAAGAAAGTTGCTAGGAGCACAGGGGAGTTCTCCAAGGAAAACGGAGGGTTACCGGAGGGTTGCCGGGTAGTTTGGGGGCCTGTTTAGGCGCTGGCTTATCCCAAAAAAGGAAGCTCTGAGTCCTACATATTGAAGTCCTGACAAAACTCAAAGGCCTCGACAGTAGTGATGGCCAGGCTGTCCTAGTTAATTCAGCCTCCCAGGAACTGAAGAAGTGACTAGCATGAGGTGGACCCTGTTCTAGAAGCTGCGGTAGCAGCTGTGCACATAACTGACCCACATCAGTCACACACAGGATGTTGTGACACAAGTTTGGCTCTTCAGAGGTAAGAGCCACCTGAGGCTTAGACTGCATGTTCGCAACACCAGGAGTTTCCTGAACACTCCCCTCACCTACAGAAGTGCTTCCAATTCCACTGTGCTTTTACTGTGCGGTAAACACCCCCTCGCTGGAGTTCCTAGAAGACTCACCTGCATGCTTTCAAGCCTTAGCCATCAGGCCAGAATGTTTTATGACCCGCTTCCTAACAATGCAGGCTGTCATTAGAAGATCCCTAACACATACGCCGCCGCTGTGCCAACTCTTCCGAAGGACCTGCAATTACCTGGAAGATGCCAGGCCTTGTCTTAGCACCACCTCAGCCTGATTAGACTCCTGGTTGTCTACCATTGTTCGTCTAGGGAGCTTCCATGCCATGCTCACACCTCTTCAGCAGATCACCAAGCCCTGGGGTTTTGTTTTTGTTTTTCTCTAGCAATATGGTACAGCAGGAAACTTCAGTTTTACAAGTGGAGTCCCAAAGCAGACTTGGCCAGGGTGCTTGCTGATTTTGCCAAGAGTTCCCCGGCTGGCCTTCGTATTCCTTTAGATGGGTCTCCTACAAGTACTTTTTCGTAGAAATTCTTCTCCGTCTCTCAGAGCCATGGTCGGCAAACTGTGACTCTCGAGCCACACGCAGCTCTTTGGGGACATGCCTGTGGCTCTGGAGTAAAATTGAGATGTTTTAAAGGGTATTATTCAGATAATGGTGATTTCACTTGTTTGTAAAAATACAGTTACAGCTCTCAAATAATTTTTAAATTGTGAGGGGCAGGACAGGCGTTGAAGTCTCCAAGTTTGCCGACCCCGGTCCTAAAGCAACTAGTCTCTTTGGTTTATCTCTTCACCCCGACACTAGCCCTGGGGGCAGTGGTGCTCAACCTTCCTAATGCCTCGGCCCTTTAATACAGTTCCTCATGTTGTGGTGACCACCCAACCACAAAATTATTTTCGTTACTATTTCATAACTGTAATTTTGCTACTGTTATGAATCGGGTGACCCCTGTGAAAGGGTCTTTCAACTCCCAAAGGGATCACGACCCACAGGTAGAGAACCGCTGCTTTGAGGTCTGCCGGCAGATTTAAGACCAAAGGCTCCTTAGAGTTTGCGTCCAAGACGGGCTAACAATCCACTAGACTTGTGCAAATCAGAAGCAAACCCTGCCCACCTTTCTTCAGCCAAGCTTAAGCGCTAGGCATATCCTAGAGCCCAGAGCTCCTTTTACAAGTCCCCCACCTGTTTGGCATCACCTTCCTGAGGACCAGCCTGCCCACACAGGTCTCCGCGAGAGGGCAGCAAGTGGTATGTGTAACCATTAACCATCTCCCAAAATGCCACCTCCCTCCAATACTATGTTTCACAAAGCTAGAGCGGTGGCCCCCTCACCGATTGGGCTGCTAACCACAAGGTTAGCTGTTTGAGCCCACCAGCTACTCAGCGGGAGAGCACAAGGCTTTCTGCTCCCCATGAAGATCTACAGCCCCAGAAACGCTGGGGAGCAGGTCTACACCGTCGTCGGACAGGGCCAGTAGGAGTCGGAATTGATTTGACAGTCATAGGTCCCATGTTGGTGTTTTGTTTAGGGTGCCATGAGCTCGTTTTGTGGTGGGCGAAGAGGGGTCCGAGAGGTTGAGAGAGCTTTGAAGATAAAAAGTGCTAAGTAACTTAGGCTTTCTCAGCAAAACTCAACTCACTGCCGAGGAGTTGATTCTTTAAAGGCTTTCTCCCTCACTGAGGTCGAGCCCATACTGACTCACGGTGACCCTGTCGGAGAGAACAGTCCCCGTGGGTTTCCCGGATTCACTCTTTATGGGAGTGGAAAGCCTCCCTCGACTTTCTCACGTGGAGCAGCTGGTGGTCCCAAACTGCTAACCTGGCAGTTAGCATCCAGCTCCTAAGCACTCCACCACCAGAGTCGGCCATCGAGTCAGGCAGACTCATAGTGACCCTATAGGACAGGGTAGAGCTGTCCCTGTGTGTTTCTGAGACTAACTTTATGGGAGTAGAAAGTCCCCTTTTGCTAAAAGCGGCTGGTGGTTTCAAACTGCTAATTTTAGGGAACGAGTAAGCACGAGTACACCAAGGCTGTAGGGATCTGTAAAACAGGAAGCAGAGTGCAGGCACATGACCGGGGCGGCTAGGGGGGTGCAGAGTGCTCACCGACACTGACCAGATAGACACAGCTAGATGACAACTTTTGACACAACGCAGAGTAGAGACTTGGAAACGAAGGGGTGTTTTAGGAAGGGCTTTCCCTCTGAATTGCCACCAAATTTGGAGGAGGAGAGGTAGAGAGCGACAATGGCCTATAAATGACAGCTGACAACTTTGGGGTCCCGGGTCCTCTGGGAGGGGGCTTGTCTACCGCCTTCCCAGTTAGTGTATCTTACTCATCTTTGTGAATGTCCCCGAAGGTGCAGTCCCCGCGGGCTCCCTCCCCAACTCTGGGGAGAGCGGGCGCCCCCTCCATCGGTCTCAATCCAGGGGACAAGGCCGGATCGAGAGCAACCTACTCCTTCCACTGGCTGTCCAACCCGCGAACCAGGCGGTCACAGAGGGCGTGGAGAGGGCGGGGGTCGGGCAGGGGGGCTTGGGCCCCGGCACTGGGTGTGGCCTGGAACCAGCCCGGACATGCTTCTGACCTGCGACTTCGGTCGGGTTTCTGGGGCGCCCTGGGACTTCCTCGTCCGTGACACGGGGCTGGTCGCACCCGAGTAGCTAGCTGGCTGGCTGCGAGGTCCCCAGGCGCGCCGCGGCCCTGCTCCCCCGCGCCCCGCGCGCCCGGCCCCCGGGCCCCCTCCGCGAGCGCTCACCGCCGGAAAGCCTCCTGCAGGATGGCACAGGAGGGGCCGGCCGTGGAATTGGGGCCGTGGGCGAAGTAGAAGCTCTCGGGGGACACGAGCAGCTGGCGCGGCGTCATCTTCACGGAGAGCGGCAGGGGCCACAGGGCGGGGGCGCGCGACGCCTGCGCCACCAGCTGCGCCGCCGGCAGCGCCAGCAAGGCGAACAGCACCGGGGCGCACCGGCGGCGCGGCGACGACGGCCACAGCCACATCCCGCTGGCTGCTGCGCGCGGAGTGCCCAGCGGCCGCCGCCGGGGCCCACTTCCCGCCTCTGCCCCGCCCCAGTCAGGTGACGGCGCGCCCCAGACTCCGCCTCCCCGCCCCGGACTCCGCCTCCCCGCCGCGGACGCACGGGGCGCGCAGCCTACGGCCGGCCCCACGGGAGTCAGGTCTCTCCCGTGCACGCCGGGAATTGCCCCCTCCGAGCAGAAGCCGGACACCAACTGCGAACCCAGTAGGATGGACACATTCGAATATCACAGCTTGGAGAAGCCCTCGCTCTGCCAGGTTGTCGCTCCTGCTTGACCTGTTTGGATCCCCCTGACCCGGGTCTATGGGGCACTTCTACTCTGTCCTCAGAGTCATTGTCGCCTGGAATGGCACTGAGTGAATGCATGTGTGTGATCCCGGTCGGAAGAGGTCATGAGGAGCCAGAATGTTCCTCGTGACGGCGAGACTTGGTCTCTGGTCCTTGGGACACGTGTTACCAGGAAGGACCGGTCCCTGGAAGAGGACGCCACGCTTGGCTGAGGGTCAGTGAAAAAGAGGACGACCCTCGAAGAGATGGATTGACACAGTGGCTGCAGCAGCGGGCTCAAACCGCAACAATACGGGCGGTATTGGGTTCTGCAGTGCACGGGTCACTGTGCAGGAGCCAACGGCGGCCCCTAACAACAACCGCGTTGGTGTTGGTGAAAGAGCAAAGTCAAGCAGACAGCTCATCCCGCCCCCGCCCCCAGTACAGACGGTGATTGGGTTTGTCTCATCCTAAATCCAGACTTTCATCAACGCTAATGTAGCTGCAAGTAATAGAACCGTCCCATAGGAACACGCTACAGCAGAACGGGAGTGGGGCGGGGGCAGTTAAACAATTATGCAGAGAGAAACTATCTGGGCAAGAGACGGTGGAGGCCTTCTCGCCACTCCAAAAGGCTTCCAGTGAGTAATCTGTCAGAGTGTAACTTCAAAAGAAAGTTAGCACCTGATCGATGACCAAATAGAATGAAAATGTGGCAATGGTTTCACTCAACTTCCTGATTTATGAGCGTGGCTGAAAGACAATCGAATGTGGCGATGTTCGAGTAAGAGTGATGAATTAGTGCACAGATTAATGTCCTAGGAACTCAACTCTCTAATCCTGAGTCTGGCACCCCCACCCCTGGCACCCCCAAGAAGCTCCCTGAATAATCAACTAGTAAGAACAACTTACTGAATGTTTCTTTGTGATAGGTGGCCAATACTTCAGGATAAAACGGAAGATTGGGAAACAAACGGAAACAATGTAGGTGGAAAGTTAAAGTGAGGTTCTAAGATACGTAATCTCTCCCCCCACAAAATGGACAGCCGACTATCTAAATGCCTGAGACTCTGATAGTCCAGGCTCTTTTTCTGAAATGATCTAAAACGCTGATGAGTCGGAATAGAACTACCGATGGCTTGCAGCCACCACAGCCTATATACTTTATTCTAAATCTTCATAAAGACGGATAGTTGTGCTTGGGACCCTTTATGGTTGATCTAGATCCCTCGACCTGCGCTGTGTTGGTGTGAGGTGCCCTTGAGTGGGCTCTGACTCACATGTACAAACAAGGAGTCACTGTTGAGTCTTGCGCCACTCTCACGGTTGGCCTTGTCTGAGCCCATCGTTGCAGCCGCTGTGTCCATCTGTCTCGTCAAAGGGTCTTCCTCTATTTCTCTGCACCTTGACGTGGCCAAGTGCGACGTCCTTCTCCAGGGCCAATGAGACAAAGTCTCGCCATTCTGCCTTCTGAGGAGCATCCATGGTTGTACTTCTTCTAAGATGTGTCCATGCTACTTTCAGTATGCCTCACCAGCACCATATCCCAAATGGATCAGTTCCTCTCAGCGTTACACTGTTTAAAACATGATCATTTTGAAGTAGGCTTTGATATCTGGCAGGGCAAAGTGTCCTGGGGATGTAGCCTATCCTGTTACTACCCCCTAGTATGAATTTAAACGTATTCCCTGTGTGTAGTTAGCCACCCTGGCCTTGAACCTCACCCCAGGCTCTGTGGAATTTTTATAACTTTCCATATCTCGAAAATATAGATAACTGATGTGTAATCGTCTGGATGACTTAGCCCGTAGGCCCCTCTGGAGAGCTCTTCCTGGAGATTGCTTATGCATCACAAATGCTACTCGGACCGTTTAACACCTTGTGACTTGAGTAATTGGAAACACCTGAAACTATGCCCGTGCTCAGCCTGCGCACTCCGGTGTGAAACTACAACCTCTGTGTGTTCTGATCACAAGCCTGCTTGACTTTCAGGCTCCCCACTGGGGTCACCTTCTAATAATACCTCTCTTTTCTCTAGCTTGGAGCGGGTACATTTGGCTCTGCTCCTCCGTGTCAGAGGTAACAGTGACACTGTGGCTTAACGCACTCTACTGCTGACCGAAAGACCCACCAGCTGCAGCACGGAAGGAAGATGTGATCATCAGGATTTCTCTGAGTTCCTGTGCTTTTTTGGTTGATCGTTTCTCTCATTGGTTGTAGTCCGAGTGATGGTCTTTGAACTCACTGATTCGAATTTCCTTTTCGTCCATTCTGGTACTTGGCTCTTTTACGGTGTTGTCTGATTCTGTGATCTTACTGTTTATCTCCTGCATTCCTTTGGGTGTATGGTATATTGTCTTTCAAGTCCTTTAGTTGTTTCCATGAGCATTCTCCACATTCTTAAAGGCACGTAGACACAATTCTTTTGAAATCTCTTTCTGGTAGTTCCAGGGGCTCGTTTAGAAAGCACGCCATTGGGTTTGGGTGATTTTCGGTGTTTCTTGAATTTGGGGGAGGTGTACTGTGGTTGACTGCTGTTTCCATAGCAATGTGGTCCTGTGGTGTGTGTGCTGCTTGGTCCTGTAGTTGGCTCTGTCAAGTGCTGGGGGAGAAGTCTAATAGGAGCTGGAAAGCACATGATGGGAAAATGGAGAACAAAGAGAGAGATGGCAGGGGAGAAGAAAGAGAATAAAATAAAAGTAATACTAGTCGTGTTAGGTCAGGTTGACTAGAGAAACAAATCCAGTGGCACTCATATATATGTAAGAGAAAACTATATATCGAGAAGTAATTGTATTTCAAGCAAACATCCACACAGTCCAATTCAAGTCCATAAGTCAGATCCTAGTCCATAAATCCTTCTTCAGACTCACGCAGCCTCTCGTAATTACACAATTCCATGTCAACTTAATGAATAGAATGAAGGGGTGGAGTCTAGCCTGTCAATCAAGTCACAGCCTGATGATCCCTCTTTGTGGGCATGGCCTTCTCATGAGGATTTTGGAAACTTCCTCTCTCTTGATTCTGTCATCAGAAGAGTGGGTCTCTCTCTCTCTCTCTCTCTCTCTCTCTCTC